GCCCCATTGGATGGTTTTGGGTATGCTTTGATTACAAATTAATATCTCGGTGTCGAATGGTCAATTGGGCACGCACCGATATGGTTCTAAAAATGCAACTAGTTTATGTCACGGATCTGCCGTGTTAGTATCATTGCCATACCTACCTGTGAAAAATAGACTTATAATATGGTGTGCAAACATGATGTACAGTCTGAAGCATAAGAAGGTAGCATCTTGAAATATCACATCGGATAACACAGCTAAAATGTCAAACTTGATCGAGTTTAATTGATCTTTCTTCGCTGTACGAGTGTCAGTTGAATCTCCGATTCTACCAGGTGTACCCTTCTTCACTGACTCTTCGGGTATCACAGCGGAGCCCTGAGTGTTTGCAGTGTTGACACCCTGGTCGTTGACTTTTATAGGAAGAGATTTAGGGGCGGGTCTCATAACATCTACTAACTCAGACTCGTATCCGTCCAGTATCTCGCTAATCTCGCTAACCAACGACGTCGAAGACGCGCCACGGCGAGACGACGGTGCGTGGTCGGCGCTGACAGGTTCTACTTTGTTGCTGTGCTTACGCTCGATCTTTCTCTTCCCACCAGCGCCTCTGCTTATACCGTGCACAGTTTCCAATTTACCGGTCTTCTCCGTTATCTGTTCATTTGATGGCGGCATCAACGCAAACTTCATCAATGCCCACGTCCACAAAGCGAGTACAGAGTAAAGAAGGTATTTGTTATATTTTACCTCCTCGTAGTTCATCACATCCATAAATTCCAAGATATCTGCGGCGGTTCCTGAACACAAAACAACAATATGAAGCACATGTTGCTTTATTGAGATGATGAATTGTTCGAGTTACGGACATCGAGTTACGAAAACATCGAGTTACACAAATGACCACGCCCATATTTTAGAAACCACGCCCACTATTGAGAAACCATGCCCAATTGTAACTCGATATTCAATTAACAGTCCACATTTAGTAAATCAAACTTTATAAACAGTTAACCATACTCTGAGTTACAGGAAACATAGATTTGTTGTTTTGTTTAACGTTATCATTTAATAACTAAAATTTTAATTAACTGTTAACCGAACTTCGAGTTACGGGAAACATTATGTTAAATAAAAAACAATAACTTATGTTGCCCGTAACTCAAAGTTCGGTTAGCAGTTTTGCAACTCGATGTTTTCGTAACTCAATGTTCATAACTCGAACAATTCAGCATCTCTGCTTTATTACCCAATCGTTATAAGCAGTGTATTTTGTCGTTTCGTTCCGTGTAGAGCTTTAACAAGATATTCGCCCTCTGCAGGTGAATACTGTGCCTACCAATATGACATTTGTTTCTCGAATCGCTGAGTATAGTCATCTAATTAATATTCATAAAACAGTTTAAATATTCGAGAAACAGACAACATCCTCTGAGCATATTCACTAAACATAGCTTAGCTACAACTATTGTATTATTAACTGATTAGATTATACACGAAGGGACAAATAAATTACGGAATGAAACCATCGAACGTACCACGTGCACATCACCCTGATATGGGAGCATCATGCGTAATTCTTCTCCTTGGTAACTGTGCAAGATATCATTTTGGAATCGCATTTGAAAAATACATCATTAGTGTTCCTACTTTGCATTACTTACCGAGAAACACCATAACGACATTGGATAGTTCATAATGGGACTGATTTGGACTTGGCAATAACCATCTACCGAGTAGCAAAACACATGGTGTTAACTGCTCCAGCGCTAGTGCCCAGCTTTCGTCGGCACTGTTTGAGTGCATGATCTATGGAGAACATTTTGAAGCAGGGTAATTGCACATCATTTAAATTTGATTTGCGTGATTCGGTGGTCTATTGCAATAAACTTATCATAAGTCGAGTCAGTACAGGTAGAACATTTTGGATTTCATACTTAAAAACTTGCTGGAATGAGTTTCTTAAAACTCAACGCGTGAAAGTGAGAAATGTACGAAACAGGGAGCCACCAGTGACGATAATAGCAGACGCTTTCATTTAGAAGTCACTACTACATAAACTATACGAGATCCCATGAAAGCTTAAAACGTTATACGTGTATGCTGTCCAGATTTTAACATGATGATGAGAACAGTTCCCCATTATGTGACTCTAACATTGATGAATCTGCAACAACGAGTTGTCAATAGAGACGGTGAATTTAGAACTATATTGTTGGTGTTCAGATAAAAATTATTCCTCGAAATATGCATTTCTGAACTGGATATGCAAATCCATATTAATAAAGAAAAAAATCGATATGAACTATATGAGTATGATTTATATCGGGATCTATATTTGTGAATTCTTCATTTTGAAAATGCGCATGCCCTTTGAACTACTGGTACGTACTGACAATTCATAATATACTTCGTTTTCATTGGACAGAAATATTATTCAAATCAATTCTCTGGTGTACACTACTCACTTTAATACTGTCTGTGGTATTCGCGTCTATCTTGTCAATGCGCTCTTGTAACCTTCTGTCGTAGAGGGCGATCTCGATTGACCAAATGGAAGGTATAACCGCAGCTAGGTAAAATACCACACTCAGGCAAATTCTGTTGAACGCGGACAGATAATAAATACATGTCAGGCATTTGTAGTTAGAACACTTAAATGTATTTAAATGCATATTTATTATACCATATCTCAAATTGGTGACATGGGGGCGGCATATATTGTGAATGATGTGGTAGCGGGGTTTAAAGACAAATTTACTGTAATTTTTATTATGTTTTTTTTTTTCAAAATAATATTTTAATTCGAAATTCGTTGGTCTATATCGGTCTTTTTATACCTCGTTTTAAACAACATAAGTTACAAACTTTAATCAGTGTTTATATGAAGAACCAAAAATGTACCACCCCTCTACGAAAATAAACTTTATCAAGGAATTGTTTCACATTGGCGAGCTGCACTTCAACTCAATGTAACGGACTAGCATATTTAGAGCACTAAGCTGATTCAATTTATCCAATTTTACCATTACCAGTGTGGATAAATCAGGTTCATTTTTGAGGTAGGTTTACTAAATTGAAGTTTGTTGAATTTGGGGATACTTGACCCATTCGAAAAATTATTACATTCTGGTTGTGTCGCATGATCTGGAACACACATACATTTTTAATGAGAAAGTAGCGTTTGCATGTTATTTACGATGTCTGTGTGTAAACTATTATTTTTACATTGGTAGCTAATATGTCTTTCTTACTACGACAAATATCTTATTTCTGTAAAAGCAAGTATAAAATAAACAAACAAACAAAAAAATGACCCACCTTTTCCACTCTTTCCCCTCCCTTTTAACCACCACGTAAGTGCCTTCCAATAACGATAATATAGCAACAACACAGAGGTAGTAAGGGAATTCGTTGTGTAATACAGCCCGCCATATTGTTAGTCCTCCGTGTAAGGCTAGTAACATGCGAGATATTACGGCGCTACACTGGGTAAAGTTTGGCAACGTTATTGGCATGTCTAGCGATACAGTTCCTGCGTCTGCCAAGTAGATTAGTTGTTTTTTCTTGTCGTGACTTACACCCGTTCGTCCGTGCGCACAGACGTATTGAAACCGTAAACATATGATTGCCACTATGTGCATACTAACTGTGCTGTTGTTTACACCTATTGTTTTTTTTTTCCGGAAAATTCTTTCTAAACTAATCAATATATATTTTCTAGAATGTCATACGTTACTTTTTCTGGTAATGCACATTTGTACATTATCAATATAATACTAACCCAGGATTTATTCAGAAGAACAGTCTGGTGTTTTGTCTAACAGTTAGCAATTAAATATGACCGTACGTGTTCCTTACTATTCGGTGTATTGAATATAATTGTTATTGTACCGCTATTCCAAGGCTGAGGCGTTAGCCATTCAGACCGAATTGTAGTCGTCACATACAGCACATATTAAATATATGCAGTATCACTGTGTTATAATAAAATTGAAAAAAGTTATATTGTGCAGCGCCGTACTATATTGATGACGAGTTTTGCGCCCTCTACGACGGCTGGTTTGCGTTGAGTGAGTCCGTCAACACAATTCGGCATTGTATTCATTATGCGTTTCCTCGCAACAATCCCACAACAAACAATATAATCTTTATTTATTTGACGACGATGAGAATGGAATCTCAGATGAGCTTTTCGATACGTTCTTGTTGCTTAGAAACCGTTGGGAGAAGAACAGTCTCATGGATGTCTTTACATTCTAATGAATATACCATATTAATGTTTAATTTCAAACCATTGTTAATAAAGCTTTCAAACGTAGCATTAAAAGAAATTATTATTTCGAAAGATTTTACGAACGACTATCTAATTGCGTATAGTCAGGAATTGTTCTTTTTTTTTGTTAAATTTACACAGCGATCCAAGAATTTATTTTCTGTTCCAATTCCGTAAGACAAAAAATGAAACACGCCTGTTGTTTTCGGCAAACTACCAATTACAGTAACTCTAACGAAAGGCACGTTTGTAATATATCCTATAAAACCCATCCAATACAAGGTATCTGAAAATAATTTATTAAAATGGTGCAAACCCATGACGATGCATCCCGGTAGAAAATAGATGGACGGAGGTAAGGACAGAAGTGATCGTGGAATATTAAACAATTCTATAGGAATATTTAAATCCGAATAAGGTAAATGTCATTTCATCAAACATTAGAAAATACATGTAAAACGCTGCCTATTGAAAGCGTGATGATCTAAGTATGTCATCATGAATGTGCCTATTAGAATAACAATCTGAAATGTTGTTTGAAAATCTATTGTCTTACGAAACTCTGCAAAAATCTGAATGAATGTCTATGTGCAAATGACTGCCACGGGATGCGATAACTTCCGGTTCACTATTGTGCATGTAATTGTCGCTGCTTTTATCGGAAGTAAACTGGAATAAACTAAACAATCTTTTTAAAGAGTCTCCTGTCAAAAACAAATGGAGATCACGTGACATATAACTAGTAATCAGTAACAGAGTAGTATTGTTTTGCGTAATTACTGTTTTCTACGCCATTCTGTACTGAGTCATTACCACTAATGGTGTTATTCAACCTTTCATTTCTGAGGGTCTCTAGCAATTCTCTCTCTTCTTTGGCTTTCTTCTCACTTTTCTCAATTTGCACGACAATTAGACGATAAACTTGCAGAATTATGATTAGAATATTTTTGACCGTGAAAAATATATTCATGTGCGTGACGACGTTGTATTTTATGATGAGGATGAGACGATAGATTAGAAACGGTCCGTCCTGCAAGGAGAGGGTCACGGCGATCCCCCAGGCGTCACTTTCTAAACACACGCATCGTGGATCGCTGTCCTCCCGAATTTCATCTTCTGGTCGGATTGGAATAATCAGTCCCGGTTGTGGCTCACGTCTAATGTTAGGGTCTATGACGTCAACTTTTGGTTTCCACTTCGGAATGCGTAAAAACGCAATTTTTCGTTTCGGGGGTGGTTTTGGTGGAGGGTCTTCCGGTGACGGCATAGCTAAGCGTGGCTTCGACGATTTCGTAACCGTGACGACCAACGTAAACTGCATTAAGCTCCACGTCCAAAGTGTCAAAGTAACGATAATTAGTTCTCGATTGTATTTCACCGAGTCTTCTTTAAAAACTTCAAAAAACTCGATGATATCAGCGGCTACTCCGATGTAGACCAATAATAGTTGAGATAATTGGTCACGTGTTATTTGACCTTTGGGCAGCATCCAACGACCAATGATAAGAATGAATAGTAGTATTTGCTCCAATGCCAATGTCCAATCATCGGTGACTATTTCTTCTGTGGTACCCATCTATGGGAGAATGTATATATTAGAAGACCGATATGTTATTACTTACATATCACGCTTTAACTGAAAATGGTGGTTGTCGAGATCGTATGCGTTTGTACGCATAGTAAAGTGTACGAGTATGAGTTATTAAACTACTTTGTTTAGTTTTAATTCGAATGCACAAGTCTGCGACGACCACAATCCCTTAACATAAGAGACTATTTCAGTATGGTTGCATCAAATGGAGACACCCTTTAATAATTCTTTTCGTAATTTTGTGAAATTATATTCTAGTTATCTGTAAAAATAAAAGACAGTTTTCATCACCCAATTCATGTGGCAACGACGACGATTTGATGGGACATATACTCACCGTCAACTCAAAAGACGCAATTCTCTTATCAAGTAAATCCAATTCTAAAATCCAAATGGAGGGCACTAAACTTCCCAAGTAAAAGAAACAGCTGGGACAGAACCTGGTGTGTGTGAAACAAATATTAATCGCATTACACCCGTGTAATTATGGAATAGATACTGATTTGAATAAAACCACGTGATTATCAGATACATTGCGTCAACACATGAACGGTATGTGTTTTATCAACTATCAACGTAGCTTCAAAAGTGAATTGCGTTTAGGTTCATTTCTTTAACGGTATGTTTAAAAACGGATAAACCGTCGTATAATTAGCTTAATTGACGAATGAGGACATAATAAAAGAGAAGAGTAAAGTGAGCCGCCGTCCTGTGGAATGAATATCGGGATAACCTAGCAGAGATTCTCAGTTCAGTAACCACCAGATAACTATGGTTTTGTTCAGGAGGTTAGGGACGATTTAAAACATGTAATAGAGAATGGTAGTAGGTAATCGTAGTCTTTGGTAATTATTCAATGTTTATCAGTCCTAGTAGCTTACACCAATTTTAAGAAAATAACAAATATATTCAAATTTTGTCATACTTTCATTATTATCGGTTTATTCCTATACATAACAAAATAAGATTCTGAGAACCAATAATCCGAAATGTCATGGTAAATTTGCATTTTTGCACTGAAATTTCTATGATAAAATAATTTCCCCATATATTGACGCGGGATAATATATTCATTTGAACTAGTGGCATTTTATTGAGGTTTCGTTAAACCTCGGCATATCATTATATTTTGTATATATAGCAAGTTTTAACAGTTTAATGTGCTTTGTTTTATTTATATTTTTATTAATCATTTATATCGAGATGGTATACATACACGTAATAACATTATTAATATAATAAACACGGCGGGGTTTCGAGTACTATTGCGTGAAATAACCTCAGATCAGAAAATATTCCAAGACACTACTTGATATCGACAAACACACTAAATAGTATATTGCAGTTGATCCAAAACATTAGTTGAAGTTCTATTTGAAATATTATAGCGACCTAATAGTATTCAAAACAAATGTCAATAGTTGTATTATATCTCGTTACACTGAAACAAACGAATTCAACCCATTTGATTCACATCCAATACCGTGTTGTGTATTCATGCACACGGAATCTACCCTGGCTGATATCGAATCCTGTCTTTAATAAATAGTGAAAGTTCAGATACCTGTAAACAAAGTAAAAGTTATCGCAAATAAACCGAAATTACTGTTTGCGTTTCCAGGGGTTTTCCTGATAATTTTCTCATTGATATGCCATTTCGTCGGCAATTTATGCAGCTGTCACTGTGTGATTTAAATTATTGTTTCGCGCGTTCAGCCGACAGATGCTTTAAACTGTCAGCTATGCTTTAATTTGAATTCACTATTTAAATATATATGTATCATATCTTATATATGTTCGTAGGCTTGCTTGTTATAGTTTGTTGTTGTGTGTGCATATACTTACCATGTCCATTCTTCTCCTCTGTTACGTATCATTGTTACCATTGTCTCGACTCCTAACCCCAACAACGCTATGGATAACAGCCAATAGAGGGCGTCCCCCATCACGTGGGTTACCCGCCATATTGCAACGATGCTATGTATAGCAAACATGCTGCGTGTCACCAACGCCTTGGTTACAACGAAACATTTGAATTCTTTCTTCCCGTCAGTTTCTTGTTTTTCGCTCATCTTTGTAAACTTCCGCTAGACATAATATGCTAATACATGTAACCTATAATAGGAGCAACGATGAAATCATTGTCAAAGTCAAAAGGTTACTACCACCATGCAATGCTAAAGGGCTGTAGTCGCCGTGCCACGCATGCACGAAATATATGGGTCTCATATAAACAAAGATGGCGATGAAGTACAAACTGAGACGTTACCAATCTTTAATTAAGTATTTTCAGGTGACTGGAAGGTATCGAAGGATTCACCGGCGGTAATTAGTGCAAATCGTGCCCAGGTCAAACCTCAAACTTGTGATTTCAATTAGAAGAGCGCCTTGGATTGTTGGAAAATCAATGTTATCAACACAAATGTCGCACATGCGCAACGCGACGACTACCGCCCTTTAACCTAGATTTGAGCATAGAATGAAACTCAATTAATTATCGGCAATGACTTTCCCAGTACAACATGCAATACTAATGTGACTCAACCCCGCGTTTATACGCTGGCGTAAGTTTGCGCTAAATACACGTGTGCCGATGTATTGAAATCACATCGCACACGCCAAAATATAGTCCAATATAACTACAATGGAAACATAATGAAATATATTTTGTAAATTTAGTCACTTTCATTATTTGAACATTCTGGTAATAAAGCCCTCTTGTGCAGTGAACATTATAATATTGACCATACACTTCAAAGCACCACTTTCTTAGCGTGACTCAAGTGGGTTGTTATTAATGACGTAATGACCCCGGATATATGACGTATATCGCATATCCTGTTTTACGTACCTTGATTCAAGACACTTGATGTATATTTCAGTTTGTACTAAGTATGTTGAAATGACACCTCACAAACCATTTCAAAAAAACTGGAACGCTGGCATCATTTCTGACTTGATCTAAACTTAAAGTATTACAGTAATCTTCCATTAGTCACATGTATAAATACAACACATTCTGCGTTAAGGGGAATTCAGTGCACATGCGCATTTGTGTGTTTTGTTATGTTATCAAACGAATACTGTTTTTACACCTTAGCCATTATAATCATCAACAGAAATATTGATATACTCAGTTATTGATATGGTGTTCCAATGTAGAACGCTACTGAATAGTGTCATGATTTATATTTCAGCCTAACGGTGGTTGCCATGGCATCTACTGATAGGGGTTAAATGACGAGGTCAGTCAGTTTGACAGTGGTTGCCATGACATCTACTGATAAAGGTTAATGACAAGGCCAGATGGCGAGCTAGTCGAAATCAGCCAAAGACATCTTATGAGTCTGCAGTTTTAAAAGATTACAGTACAGTAGCTGTAATCCTAAACCAATCTTATTTGCGATTCTAACTAATGTGGTATCTTTGTGGAATGTTATTTGCAAGACTATT